AGCTAGTTGCAGGAAAGAGGTAGCTTACCGTTTCGGGCGCCTTTTCATTGATCAAAACAAATAATTTGACTGCTAAATCTGAGCTCACATACACGCTGTTCATCGCAGAGGTTTGCACTTGGTTTAAGTCTCCTGCCTATCGGTGCAACGGAAAATTATATTGCAGGGAAAGCAATATTCTTTGACTTGTTTTGGCATATAAATTAACTTGTATGGAGTGGCACGGAAGAGGCAGTTTTGTAGTAAAAGCGTACTGTCCCACATTTGATGCTTAAATTAAAACTCGACACGATGTTGATCGATCGAACATTTCATTTTTAAGTTGGACCTGAGGTTATAGCACTGTATATTTTGGACATTTTAGGGTTACTGCTGAATTTCCAGAACGTGAGAGTCTTGTAAAACGCTAAAATAGACTCTCTCGGTGTTGAAAAATTTTATTTTGATCGAACCAACTAATGTCAAGATTATCTGTGCCATAAATTTTCTGTTGACACTGTGTACAGCTGTCAAACTTGAATTAAAGTATTCTGTTAAAATTTTGATTTGAATCGAATCATGATCCACAAAACATCTTAGACTGAGGGTGGATAATGTGTCTTTCGTTTAAATGGCTTCTCTGGCAGGCAGCTCCGTTTCTAAATTTTCTGTCTATAAACGTTTAGGCGTAAAAGTGTTAGGTGAAAGATAACCAGCTGCAAAGGAATCCTCATTTCAAGGTATAAGATACAGCAAATTTTCTGAAGGTAGTTACTCCCTCATAAAAATGAACAGAAATTTTAATGGTTTGGGTTAACATTCTTTGCTCTATGGTGTTTATAGACAAAATTTTAAAACCTTTAGTTGGATCATCTTGATGAATAGTACTTTGGAGCGTGACATGCAGTTTCCTACTAAGTTAAGCTTTGAAAACAAGCCATCATAATTACGTTTGTTAACAAATGTAACAGACATGCTTTAATTTAAACTTTGTAAACTCACTGTAATTACCTACATACAGTAAAAACCTGCGACTAAGAACCTGGTTTTTAAGAACGTGTTAGGCTAAAATTTGCCAGCTAGACCCCTCTATACAAGAACCCGCTGAGCCCAGAATTTGAAACAGGTTTTTATTTTCTAAAATCTATAAAAACATTCTGTACACTTGGACAAATAAGTCAACATTCAGGATCCTGTTTGTAGACATACGTGCCTCATCACTCCAACTACAATAAGGAATAAGCTGAACATCATGCACTAAACACTCTTAAAGCTACAAATTATGTATTTTTTGCCACAAACCTATTTATGACCTAAATAGCCAAAATTTGTGCTAATTACTATTAAGGGGAAAAATGCAGGTTTTTTGTCTGGGGTTTTGTTGTATTTATTATTTTAACCCTAAATTTATTACCAAGTCCTAATAAATGCGTGGATTAATTACAGTATATATTGCAAGAGGTTGTTGTTGAGTGAAGAAGTTCATACAATGTATATGAAGCATATTAGTTACTTGTAATGCAGGCTAGCACAAATCGAATCGAACAAACATACTGTTCCACGTGCTTCGAAAAAGGTACATTCACTTGATTACCGCGGGAACATTAGATGGACCTTAAACTCACGCCAAATTTGCTAAAACTCTGCTATAATTATAAAGTGTCGCAGTCCAACCCTCCAAGAATAGGGAGCTTAAGCAACAGCGTTTTTGAGCGACGGACGTCAACCGGAAGTGGACTTTTTGTATCACTGGGCAGTGGTTTGTTTGAAACACTCGGGTAAATCGTCTTTTTAAGAGAAAAGAAACTTAGCAATACAGATTTGTTAGCGTCAAGGCATATAAAAAGGAAGAAAGGCTCACTTCCGGTTGACGTGCGTCGGACAAAAACGTCTTTGCTTAAGCTCCCTAATACGTCTGGGAGCTCACTTCAGTCACTTTTTTCGCCCGCGGTGAAACTTCCTTAGCAACACTTTCGGTTTTGTTCGGTTCCGGTTCGAAAGAGAAAGTGAACCCGACAAACATGGTCAACCCTGGAAGATATTGCTTATAGTGGAAACTGGTATTATGCTGTGATGAATTTTGGGGAGAAACAACTCTCATGTATTTGAAAAGTTGGTCTATTTCATGTGCTTTTGAGTAAAACCAAACATACTCCCAGAGCGAGTCCCTAAATCGTATTTGTTAAGTGCATGCTAGTGACTAGCAAAAGTTTAAGACCTAACACGGAACAGAGTGTGAGAAGATTTATCGGTGCTGATACATATAAAAGGCTGACTTAACAAGTCCGATAGATTTTGGTAAAGTGCACTTACTCTCGTATGGTGTTGATAAAGCTTGATTTTCCAGTTCCCGATGCACCAGTGATGGCGATGTTCACTTCCACACCTTGCCCATTCTCCAATCTTTTGGCCGTCAAGTCGACTGTTTCGTATCCGTGTAAAAAGTCTGACATAATGAACGGGACAAATAGTTTCATACAACGGCGTTTCTCGCCACGCTGCCAAAGTGAAACCCAGTAACCAAATACCCATTGTTTTGATTCCCTTGTCATATGACGTTGGTGATTGGGTATTATAATAGCTGTGGTCACACTACAGACTTTTTACCTGGGTAAACTCGACTTGTTGACAGTTTACCTAGGGAAAGTTGATTTTTTAAGTGTGACCTATTTTTCCCTAGGTAACTTACCTCTGGGAAATGTTATCGTCTGGGTCTTGGATATGTCTCGAGAACAATAGAGTTTCACTGTGACTGTTATCAAATTGTAAAGTCAAAATAGCGAGGTTTCAGTTACGAATTCTTATTTACACTAGGTTGAAGATAAACAAAAAGTAAATCTTTGTACAAGTTTCCATTTCCGTAGCATGTTTGATTTCGAAAATACAGCAAATTGAACTTCCAAGTTTTCACAGTGCGTGACACCAAAATAGGAATGCTGTCTCGTTGAAAAAAAAGTCTCTCCTCTTGATTTTCAGCAGTATAACCACTTCAAGTATTAGAGGATATGTTTATGCGTACGTATGCTAGTTCTCGAGTGAAAGGAATGAGCTTTTATAGAAAAAGTGAACTCTAGACGTTTTTGTTGATATCCGGCGGCCATATTGGTGCACCAAAACGGTGCACCAATTTGGCGTCTCCATACAAAGCTCTACAAAGGTGCGTGAAACGTTTCGGCAAATAACTCAGAACCTGTGGGCCACAAAGACCTGAGACTTCGACAAATTGTTTATATATTAGTCTTTTATAACATTTCATTTTCTTGGCTTTTTCCATTGGACGGTTTCCAATTTAATTTTTTGTTGAGTGACAGTGAAAACGATCTGTAGACGCTCATCGGCGAAGGTCTTGATGACAGGACCGGACATAGCTCACCCTGTGAAAGAAATTCTGGGGGCACGAGACGTCTACGTCTTCGCCTTTCTTCACCTTGCACGTTGAATTAACGTGAGAAATAACAGCGAGATAAAAGAAAAAACGTCTCTTTAATCAGCTAGATCCCTGCGCATCTTGCCTTCTTAAATTTACGCTCCAAAAACTTCAACTGGAGTGAAAACCTTGGGAGCCGATATCAGTAGTGTGACCTTCCCAGAATTTTTCACCTAGTAGGTAAAACAAAACCCGAGATGAATTTACCTCTGGAGATTTTTGATGAATTTGCCCTAGGTAAATCGCTTTCACCTAGGTGAAAGTCTGTAGTGTAACCACAGCTAATACCCACCTCCCCCCTCCCCCCCACCACCACCCCCTTGAAATTGCGAGTCTCCATCAAGGCGTGGCGGAAGTATGAATACTTTTGGATTTACAAGCCTCGGGAGCTCGATTCTTTGGAAAGTCGTTTGAACACTCGACTGAGTCTCATTGTCTAGGACGGTTATCCTTACGGGCAGGTGTTAAAGGGGCAGTCTGGTTATATTATATTAGAAGGGAGACAATCCAGTGGGTATTTGGTTATGGGGGTTTCACTTCGGCAGCGAGAAACGGGGTTGCATTTAACTTCCGCTCTCAAAATCTATAATGCCATTTACACTGCATGGTATGTGGCCGCGAATTGGTCGTGAAGGCTCTGGTGTTGAGTGCCGGCTTACATGAAGAGTACATGAATACATAATTCCAAGAAAAAAAGAGAAAGGGAAGTAATCTTCCGTATAGGACATGCAACAATGTTTGTTTGTTTCGAAAATACGTAATCAGCGTAATTCAGGTATACACGTACTGTATCAAATGCAAGACTTTTCGAGTCGCTTTTCTGCCGGAAATCTATTTACCAAGTGAATTGAAAGCAGACCCGGATCTCCGCTTAAGGGTGTACAAAACGAAGACCGAAGGGCGAAGACCCAAAAACGAAGGCCCCTATAAATTGACGCGGTTTATTCCCGGCAACAGGCAGGGTGTTCGCTTTGTCAAAAACGTTTCAGGATTTTGGGTTTTTTGTTGGACGTCCATCAAACTGTTTCTATAGCGTTCAATCCTTGCTTGTCAAAAAAAACGGCGGTAAGAGCGGGCAGAAATTGCATGTTGGCGGGAACGCACTTCTTCGTTTTTACCCTCCCATATCTGTCTTGCTTCTGGAACAATTTCACCTTGGGAATCAAGAAGGCAAAAAAAGCTTGAGACCTAAACCGTGAAAGTGTACATCACATAACAGAATATCAAAGCACAAATCCTCCCGATCGACAAGGCACTGAGCGGTAAAACTTAGCGCGCGTTTCAAAAACAAGCGAACTCTGAAGTTCACGACTAAAGCGAACACACAAAACGGATCGAAATCCACCAATGAGTTACAAACCATGACCTTTTGAACCCGGTGAAGTAAACTTCTGTTTTCTAAGAGGTCCGCTAGAAAGCGCCGAAGACGTTTTTAACATGGCAGGTCGCGTTAAAGTTCGAAACAGCTGTAAGGTATTGTTCATAGACTACAAAAATGAATATGTTGATATGTGACCTGTCAAAATTGACGTTTTAAACACAGTGTTATCCAGGCCATGTGTTTTTTTGTCTGTTCTAGTTATCGTTGGTTTTTCAGAAAACATTAGAAAAACGCTTGAGATTTTCGACGGTTATTTCGTTGATAATCTCCTTCCTGTGATAGTCCCATTATTTGCTGAAGTGTTGCACTTCGTCATTTCCTCATCCCAGGGCTATTTTCTTGAATGGGTGTTATTATTTAAGACGCAGCAACATCAACTATGAAGATGTCTTTTAGGGCCCTTGAACCTTTACTAGCGACCACAAACTTTTGTCTCCTATACCTACAGCCACGGGAATTTTGTTTTGAAGAACGCAACCATCAGATTTTTGCAAGGCAGGTTTTTTTTGTGGTATATATAAAAATGCAAAACAGCAATGCGGCAAATAAAGTTCAACTTGTCATGGTGCAACATGATTTTTGCACCATGATTTTTGATGCCCGTTTTACCGTAGCTTTACCAGAGCCGTATCTAGCGGGGTGGGGTGGGAATCAAGTGTGCGATGGATTTGTTTTCTTTTTTCTTTTTTGTTATTTTGATTGTAGTAACTTGTAAACCTTCCCAGCACTCTGCAAAGGCCTTACAATTGTCCTCACCACACTAGTGTTTCTTGTGAAAGATCCCTCTCTGCTCTGCGCCGTCTGAAGCTATGGACACGTTCTTCAATGACAGAAGAACGCCTTAGCGGCCTCGCAATGATGCTCATTCATCGCGGAACCAACTACATGCCAACACCAAAGGATGTTTATGAACGAAAATCAAACTGGAGACATCTTTTACAGGTTAGTTAGCCGAAAACCATGCAGTATTTTGAAATGCTTAGTGTACTAGTGCTTGGATATACGGTGTGTTACAAATATTAACAGGACCTCGGAAATAAACTCTTGTAAGCACTGAAAATACCTGCCTTTTCACGCTTATTCGAGGTCGATTTTTCGGAGACATCCCTCATAACAAGTACTGACAATAGCGTTTCAGAGCCTCCAAATTTGAAAATTTTCTGGGGGAGAAAACCCCCAGACCACCCTACAAGGCTCGGTGTCTTCGGCACTCGCGATAATGCCCCCGTCACAAAAAAACCTAGCTACGGCCCTGTGTAAGGAGAGACTTCCATGAATTCAGTTTATTTGCCTCGAATTTCATCTATAGCTTTCGAATATTCGCTTTAACGTTGTTTTTATAGTAATTCATACTGAATTTGAATAAAAAGGTTTTAGCTCCGCAAAGAGGCTCGTGCCATTTTATTGTCCTTTGTTCCATTTGCTTTGTGTTCGCTAGGTAACAATTCTAGAAAAAGCCAACAGTGGTTACAGCTGTCAAAACTATTTGCCACTTACTCTTTTCAACCGGATTCGTTTAGCTTCAATTGTTGACTTTTAGAAAAAATCATTAGCTTTCAGAATAATGGCTATTAACTTTAGTTTAACATTTAATTTAAGCTTTCTTTTTATTTTGCACGACATCCGTTCACATTAGCACCTTTTTACAGATATAACTCGTTTCAATTGGATTTTAGCGAGGTACATGTAATGCGAATATAACGTTCGTTAGTCTGTTGACTAAATAGTGGCAACAGATGAGTTTGGAATGTGAAAGGTTTTGCTGACTTGCAAATTCGAAATACCTTTGTTTTGCTTTAAAACTAGGACACTAGTAATTAGTCTGCGTTTCTTCCTGTTTGAACAGACCCTAGCTGACCTTACAATTTCATTCATTGTAAAATACACTGTACATAAACGCTGTTTTGTTGACCTAGCAAACGGCGTAGCTAGCTTTTGTTCCAGTACTTTTACTTTTTAAAAATAGCAACAATAACAAGCTATAGCTATCTCTTTTATTTGATTTTCATTTACTTCTAAATGAGTTCTGTTTACATATCCATTGTACTCTTTTGTTTTCATGGTTATTCAAATCATATATAAGTAAGTGGCTTTGAACTGATTTTTCGATTACATTGCTCATTACATCGAGGATTTCAGAGCTGATTACATTGCTCATTTAATCGCGGATTTTAGAGCTGATTATATCGCCGATTACATTTTGTGAGCTAAGTTACGCTACGTGTACAAGAATAAACGCTCTTGGAAACCACAAGGTCCTGTTTCACCTACTGCTGCTGTTCCTTACGTCACACCTGTTAACAGGGGCACCCAACGTCAATTTTCGGAAAATCTCTGTTTGGAAAACGATTTGAGGTCTAGAATTTTCGGAACATTTTTTGTAAAATTTCTTGCTTGCCTGCCTCTCCTAAGATTTTCGAACATCTAAAAAATGGTATAATTGCCCATTTTTAATGGATTTTCACACTAAAAAGGTAACCTGGAATTTTCGGGAGCTCTTTTTCTGGCTGAAATTTCGGAAAAGGTAAGTTTTGATCCCTAAAAAAACGGTAGATATATAGGCATATTTTAAAACACTAAAATACATGCTACGTTTAAGTGGTTTTGAGCTATATTCTCGTTGGGTGCCCCTGTGTTAACTGAGTACTATTCTTGCTATATCTAAATAATTTAGTTGACTAGAGGTGTGTCGACTGATCTGACTACAAGCTGC